GCTGCTGCTGCTGCTGCTGCTGCTGCGCCTGCTGCGCTAGATGAGGGCTTGCTAGATGCTGCTGCAGCTCCTGCTGCTGCAGGAGGGTTCGGAGATGGGCTGCGGCTAGTCCCCGAAACCATGAGCTGCTGCTGCTGCTGCAGCTGCTGCTGCTGCTGCTGCTTGTCGAGGAATGTGCGCTGTGGTGTGGATGCAGCGGCAGCGCCAGCTGGTTTTTTCGCAGCAGCAAGTGCAGCAGCGGCAGCAGCAGCAGAAGCAGCTGCCCTGGGCGAAACAGTCGAAGTAGCAGCAACGACAGCAGCAGCTGCTGCTGCTGCTGTTGCACCAGGGGAGGGCTGGCGCTGCTCTGCTGCAGGACGACTGGAAGCCAACCTCTTGTTGCTGCTGCTGATGCTTTTGCCGCAGTTGCCGCACGGTAGTGCAGCAGAAGCAGCAGCTGCTGCTGCTGCGGGGTCGGCAGCAAAACTCCAGTCAAACAGCTGCTGCAGCGCCGAGGCCTTGATGTCTGCTGCTACGTCTAAAGCAATGGGGGAAGCAGCAGCAAGTGCATGCAGCAGCTGCAGCAGCGCAGCACGTTCATTTCGGTTGGCTGGGCACGGGATGATGCTGCTGTCCGCTGCTGCTGCTGCTGTTGCTGCAGCAGGCGCCGCATCCGCCGGTGCTGCTGCTTCTGCTGGGAATTGTTCGACTTCTGGCGTTGCCGCTGCTGCTGCAGGTGGTGGTGGTGGTGCTGCCGCTGCTGCGGGTGAGTCCGCAGCAGCAGCAGAATCCCCGTCGCCATGACCGGGAGAAGGGCTTGCAGTTATTGCTGCTGCTGCTACAGCTGCTGCTGCTGCATTCGTAGCAACAGTCTCAAATTGCTGCTCTGTTTCTCCTGTTGCTGCTGAAGCTGCTGTTGCTGCTGCTGCTGCTGCTGCTGCTGCTACTGCTTCTGGTGCTGCGTCGTGCGGCGTAGCAAGTGGGGAGGCCACCTGCTCCACGCGCTCGTGCTGCAGCTGCAGCAGCCTCTGCAGCTGCTGCTGCTGCAGCAGCAGCTGCTGCTGCTGCACCTGCGGCGAGGCATCAGCAGCTAGCCACAGCCTCGGATGTACATTTAGTCTCTTGTGCTGCTGCTGCTGCTGCGGCTGCTCCAACACCTCGTAAAAAGCCCAGTGGCAGGGGGCGCCGTGCATGTAGGGGATGCGGTGGCGCTGCTGCTGCTGCTGCTGCTGCTGTGCTCCGCCTGTTCCTGCTGCCGCAGTAGACTCCCGTGGAGATGCCTCTCTCACATAGCCGTAGGCGCCGTCAATAGCATAGGCGCTGCTGCTGGTGCTCCTGTCGCTGCTGCTGCTGCTGCTGCTGCTGCAACCCCTAGAAGCAAAAGATATCCATCCATATCCTCCGTCTGCAAGCGTACGCTTCTGCATAAACTCTAGCTTGCTACAGCAGCAGGTGCTGCTGCTGCGGTTGTTGCGGGCGCTGCTGCAGCAGTTGCTGCTGCAGCTGCTGCTGCTGTTGCTGCAGCAGCGAACAAATCCAAAGAACCCATCTATGCATAGGGTTTCAGGTGTATAGACAACAGCGCAGCAACGATTGCTGCTGCCGCAGTTGCTGCTGCTGCAATCGCTGCTGCAGCACTTGCTGCTAGAGTCCTTGCTGCTGCAGCAGCGCACGAAGCCGAAGCAACCATCAATGCAAAGGGTTTCAGGTATATAGACAACGCCGCTCCCGCTGCTGTTGCTGCTGCTGCTGCTGCTGCTACCGCAGCTGGTGCAGCGGACGTAACCGAAATAGCCATCGACAAGAACAAAGTCTGGGTCGCATGCTGTGCTGCTGCTGCTTGCTGCTGCTGCTGCTGCTGCTGCTGCTGCTTCTGGGGCTGCTTCAAAGTTGCTGGGAGAGCCAGATTGCCCCACAACAACTGGAGCGTCTGCCTTCTCCGCTTGCTGCTGCAGCAGTTTCTTTTCCCCTGCCTGCTGCGTTTGCTGTTGCTGCTGCAGCTGCTGCTGCTGTTGTTGCTGTTCCTGCTGTTGTTGCTGTTGCTGCTGTCGCTGCTTTTGCTGCTGTTGCTGCTGTTGCTGCTGCGTCTGCTGTTGCTGCTGTTGCTGCTCTTTCTGCCGTTGCTGCTGTTGTTGCTGCTTCTGCTGTTGATGCTGTTGCTGCTTTTGCTGTTGCGGCTGTTGCCGCAGTTGTTGCATTTGCTGCTGCTGCTGCTGGCCCCATGCTGATGCCTCCCTGACAAAACCGAATGCGCCGTCAATACATCCATGGGGGAAGCCAGAGGCAGCTTTCTGCTGCTGCTGCTGCTGCAGCTGCCTGAGGAGCTGCTGCTGCTGCTGCTGTTGGGCATCTCTGGCAGCTTGAGCCTGCGCCAGCTGCACGAGCAGCTGCTGCTGCGGATGGTAGTGCTGCTGCTGCTGTTGCTCTTCCCACTTTTGCTGCAGCTCCTGTATTAGAATAGACACATAAGTCTCGCTAAGGGACCCTTCTGGCAGCAGCCGCTGCAGCACACCTTCCAGCAAGCCCTTAACTATGAGGAACTCTGCGCCTGCAGCAGCAACGCACCAAGTCTGCTGCTGCTGCTGCTGCTGTTAGTGCTGCTGCTACTGGCGTTGTGGCTGCTGCTGCAGCTGCTGCAAGCCAACTGCTGAGCCAGCTGAGGACGCTTTCAGCGTGCAACGTGCTGCTGCCAACACAAAGGCACTACAGCAGCAGCAGCAGCAGCAGCAACAGCAGCTGCAGCAGGAGCAGCAGCAAACCCGCTACTAAGTGTTTGCTAACCCTCTCGTCTTGCTGCTATGTGCATGGAGAGCTGAATGAAAGCCATTCGCGTCTCCATGTCTTTATCTTGCAGCAGCTGCAGCAACGGCAGTAGCAGGTCTTGCTGCGGCTTCTGCAGCAGCAGCAGCTGCTGCTGCTGCAGCTCCTGCAGCTGTTGCTGCAGCTGCTGCTGCCGCTCCCTTGAGAGACCAGGCTGGTTCAAATACACACGCACTGTCTGCTGCTGCTGCAGCAGCAGCAGCAGCTGCTGATGCAGCTGCTCAGCAGGAGGCAGCAGCAGCAGCCGCCGAGGGCCGTCATGGGCAGCAAACCTGCAGCACGAGCAGCAGCAGCAGCAGCAGAAGCAGCAGCAGCACTCGAAAAAGAAGCAAAAGGAAAACCAAGAGACAAATCGACGATTTGCCCCTTCACAACATTTAATTTAATTTAATTTAATTTTATTTATTCACTTATTTATTTATTTATTTATTTGTTTGTTTATTTATTTATTTATTCATTTAATACCGCGCCAGAGCCTTTACAGAAAGCCGGCGAAGAGGCTGAGGGCTTTGAACAGCCAAATCGACAAGGACAGAAATGAGGCCTATTGAATGCAACAAACCCTAAACCCCAAACCCTAAACCCTAAGCCCTAATCCCTAAACTCTAAACCCTAGCCGCCAAAACCCCAAACTACTTGCTGTGCAGCTGGCTTGCCTGCTGAGCTGCCCCTAATTGCGAAGCTCTAAACCCTGAGGGCTAAACCCTAAACCCCCATCTGAGGAATCCGGTCCGAACCCTAGACTCTAAACCCTAAACCCTAAACCCTAAACCCTAAACCCTGATGCTTGACCTGCTTTGTAGGCAGCAACGCACTGCTCCGGGTCTTTAAAAAGAGACAAAAGAGCAGAAAGGGCCTTCGCCTTCACGCAGCTGCTGCTGCTGCTTGCTGTTAGCTGCTGCAGCAGCGCGGGGGCCCCCCCAAAGCCCCGCTGCAGCGTGCATGCAGGAGGGGGGGTGGGGTTGCCCATAACCACCCCGAGGCGGGGCAGCGTGGAGTTCAGCATCGAGGATTTAGGGTTTAGGGTTTAGGGTTTAGGGTTTGGGGTTTGGGGGGCCAGCGGTGAGGGAGAGGGGCTGGAGGAGGCTAAGCACTTGCAGCAGTCCGCAGCCTTTGCTGTACGGTGAAAGGCAATCCTCCAAAACCCTAAACCCTAAACCCTAAACCCTAAGGGGCTGCGGCTTCTTGAAGGCCTCGCGCGTCGACGCTGCAGTGCGGCGAAAGGGTCTTGTTTTTTGTTCTTTTTTGCAAATATATTGTTTTTAATTGTTTTTAAAATTAATTTAAAAAGAAAAAAGGAATTTAAAACCCTAAATTTAGCAGCAAACTCCAAGCCCCAGGTTCTCGCCCGCACAGGGCGGTGCAGGTCACCCCCAGGTGACCTCACTGGGGCCGCTACAAACCCTAAACCCAAAATCTTCTTAAACCCTAAACCACCAAAAACCCTAAGCCATTTCTAAAGCCTTAATTGTGTCGAAATTAGGGTTTGCGGCTTTCGCTTTAAGTCTCCCAAACCCTAACCCGCAACGCTAAACCCTAAACCCTCGCCGCTACTGTCCGCAATGGGCCTTGATGCCCACAAACCCTAAAACTCCATTTTTATTTTTTGAGCCTCTTTGTAAACATAAAAAAGGTTTTTTGAGCTGCTTAGGGTTTAGGGTTTAGGGTTTACGGAGTGTTTCGCGTAGCCCGGAGGCGCCTGCCGCCTATAGTGCAAGTCTCAGTTACTAGGGGTTCAAACTGCTAGGGTTTAGGGTTTAGGGTTTGCGACTTTCTTGCTTATAAATGCAAAACCCTAGAAATATACTTGTTTTCAAATGAGGCAGTTCATTTTAAAAACCCTAATTTGCCAATTAGGCACATGCATTACTGAAATGTGTTCATTTGCAATATTTTCATTTATATATATTGTTCAAATCTTTACAATATATATATTTAACAAATATAATAATACATATAAACATATACAATATATATATATATATATGCAACAAATGCACGTATATGTATACGTATTAATGAAATATATATTCTAAATATATATATATATATAATACATAATATATATATATAATATATATATGTATACATATATAATGTATAATAGAAAATATATATAATATATATATAGTATACATATATACAATTCAAATAATATTATATATGTAATTACATACAATTTGTAGATTAATATATAAATATAATTCAAATATTTCCTATACGCGTATTAAACCACACATGTCATATGCATATATATTAAACTTTATACATGTTTATATATATACATGTATAATATATATGTATATATATTATATATATATATTATATATATATATAGTGTATAAATATATATATTATATATATATATATATTTGAATATATATATGCCTGTGTAATATAATATGTAATGATATAATTAGTATATATATTATATATGGTATATATAATATCATTATATATACACGTATACACATGACATATTTTATATATTTATATATAAAATATATCTAAATGTACTTCTGTGCCATTTCCATTTATTTCCTTTTCGATTTTATTTCATTTTATTTCCATTTTTTTAATTTAATATTTTTAACTTTAATTTCTTCTTTATTTTATTTCTTTCTAACTTTAATTCCTTTTTAATTTTATTTCCTTTTAATCTTATTTCTTTTTAATTTTATTTCTTTTTAATTTTATTTCTTTTTAATTTTGTTTCTTTCTAATTTTATTTCTTTTCAATTTGCAAATCCACCTCCCACTTCCTGCATGCATTTCTTCATTTGAAAG